TCTGAGTTTATTCATTTCCTCCTGGAGATATACAGTATTAAATTTAAGAGGCTTTTTGTTGTAATGTATTCTTCGAAGTTCATTGCCAATTAAGAAAATCGTACAACTGTCCAAATTTATCGTTTGTAATTGTTTAGACAATAAACTGTTACCCATTTTTCGATATACTCGACGTTGGTTACACGATTAACCCTTCGAGGACGGGAAAAATCAAAATTTGTAAAAAAAATAAAAATCTTAGTCAATTGTGATGTAAATGTGACCTTTTTTCTTTAATTTTTTCAAAAAAAGCTAGACACCCTGGAACGACGGCTCTAGTGAATTTTTATAGTAAAATGTTATAAATTATAGTAAAAAAGTGAATTTTTTGTTGAAATTGGGATGAACAAAGGTTCACTTTTTTGCTTGATCATTCCAGAAACAAGTTACGTTTCAATGGAAAAGTCAGATCAAAATTTTATTGAGATGACCACAACTTATAACAATAATAAAATTAATTATAAAATATAACAAAGACCAAATTACATCATAAAAAATACTGGTCAGGAATATTCAAAATCAATTGCATTATAAAATAACAAAGAAAAAAATAATAAAGCATAGACTTTGAGGTGTCTTGAAATTTCGATATGCAATTGATCTCAAAAAATAATAACAAGGGAAATTAAATAGATTTTTTGTAAACTTTGAAAAATACAAAAATTTAAAAATTGGGTTTTACTATTTTTTTGTAAAAGAAATAAGATAAGACGAAAAGACACTTTTGTTTGTTCCGACTTCGAAAAATAAATCTTAAAGAAAATAAGTGTAAAACAAACAAAAAATAACTAAAATACATTTTCAAAAGTATCAAAAATCACAAAATCGAGAAAAATTTATAAAATCAACTTTAACAATAAAAGTAATCGCATTTAAATAAACTTTGATCACCACGAGGTATCGTGGTCATCCATTGAATTTCACGTCGTGCCACTGTCGAGGAAGCAAGATATGAATTCATTGTTTGTAATTTGAATATTTTTATTTTCAAACAAAAACAAAAGGTAAAACGTGTTTTATGCAATTAATTTAGAATA